TAAATATAATTATTATTAGTTTTTCATCAATGGGTCTGACTAGTAAAACTGTCATAAATGCAACACATGTTGAAGACTCTATCGTGTCTTTTATTTTGAATTCATTGGGATATATTTAATCAAGGATAAATTGAATGAACATTTTTTATTCATAAAACATTGTCGATATATATTATGATAAATATGGAGGTAATGAACTGTTTTCAAGTTCTTAAGTCCATTTAAACAAATTGAAAACAATCCAGGAGCAGAGCAAAGATAGACCTCCAAAACAGTAGAGGTGAGATCAGGTGCCACGAGGGAGTAAACACAATCCGCCATGTGCTATATGTCATGACTGGGAAATCACGAAACAATACCTGGAGAATTTATTGGTAAATAATGACCTAACAATGATTATGAATATAACATTTCTGATTCCCTGTGATATCTCTTTGAAAGGTAGGTAAGTTGATTTCTTGATAATTAAACCTGAATGTAAATTTAGCCATGTACGTGTAAAAGGTCAGGAGCCTAATATGCATTTCATTTCTTAGTCTTTGAGTCTGACGGCAGTGGACAGGGACTATTGAAATTGACGTGTGAGGCCTCGTGTATTTTAAATCTATCGATAAGTCAGCATCTTTTAAAATTTTATCTTATATTTAATTTTAAATATAAATGGAATCACTTTCTAGATTTTTTGATCCTTTAGATCCGTTATGCAAATGATTCCACGTTTTCAACTCTTGTTGATGCCCTGGCATACACAAACTAGACAGTGATTCCTTTAAAAAACGTCATCATTTGAACTGTAATACTTGTAAATTGCACTTGCTGGCAAGGTTATTATTATTTTTGTTTCATCAACTTGTTTGTCAATAACTTACCTTGTTTTAGATATTGATCGTACATAAATCAATGAAGGACATTGAGATAACGCACAGTATCCAATATCAAAGACCATAAAACAATAAAATATAGGAGCAGAGCAAACACGGACCTCTAAAACATCAGAGGTGATATCAGGTGCCATAGAGGGGTGAGCATCCCCTACTCACTAAGAAAAAAAATTATAAGCCCCATATACTGGTAATAAGAGTATATTGCTGCATAAGTAAGGGAAGTGAACGACTGAAAAGTCGAAGTCAATTTACATTATGAAATTTACCAAATGTGATAATTTTTTAATTTTCACTGTAGTTTACGAAGTGTAACATAATGCAACTCCTGTATAACATTATGTCATATTCTGTTTACATCATGCGCTACCTAAAACAATATATAACATCCTCCTAACACTATTAATAATATGACTCCTATATAACAGTATGCAACATCCTGTTAACATCACGTGAATTCTATAACAGTATGTAACATCCTGTTAACATCACGTGACTTTTTATTACAGTATTATATAAAATTCTGCTAACATTATGTGACTTCTAAATCAGTATGGTACAACCGCCTTCTTGACGTCTTGTATACAATCAAAATGCTTGGTGGACACTGGCTGTGTTGCGAATCTATGTTCAAAATACATAGTGCTTGCCAAAAACAATTATCACGGAATAGCTATTTTTACGTTTCAATTAATGCTAAGTGATACTTTGTGTTATTTGTTGGACTTTTATTATCGCTTCTTTTCTAAACCCGAATAGTTTCGCTTTGCTACATTTGCGGCATATTTTAGGTAACTTTTATTCTGTGTTAAGATAGTTGAAATCACAAGTACGTATGCAAAGAGACCCATCTTTTGCCAAATTCTTGGTGGGGTAACCATACTAGCTGAAAATGCCTTTCGATAAACGTTGATTGACCCTTTAAGTTTGCAGTGTAAATAGAATTAGAGTTTGTTCTTACAAATGGCGAGAGTAATCTCCCTTTTCTTCACAACAAATCTTGTGAAACATATATTAATTTCTTCACGGATGTGCAAGTTCTGAAATGTCGTATTACATGACGGTAGATTGCGCGTGAGTGGTTCCGCCAAATCTCGGCTGATAGCATTTTGCTTAGCGTTATTACATTTTGTCCCAAACCTGCTGTGCCTTACAAATGAAGACGCCATAAAACCGTTTGAAAGTTTGCAGGACATCGTCATCTGAAGACAAGCGACGCTTGATTTCTATGACTAGTGTGATGGGATGGTTACATGATTAGATGTCTCAATCAGCAACAGATGGAAGTCTTTTTTTGAAGGCAAATAACTCATTTTTCATGCTCTTGCAACACAGAAAAAACTGCAACTACACTGTACTAGTTAGGATGCGATATGATTACGTACTATATGAATTTTAAGGGTCCTTTACTATAGAATTGCATTACTTGTATTGAACCGCCATTCCGGAGCAATTACGTCTAAGATTGAAAGGCAAACACTTAACTTTTTTAAAAACCATTTTCATTCAGAAACAACACAAAAAATGTAGATTAGCAAAGATATTTTTGTCAATTTGTAAAATAGAGAAGAAAGACTTTACCAGGACAACGTATCATGATCGGTTTTATTTTTGATACAGATGTCTTTGGCATGCCCTAAAATTTGTTAAATTGAAAAAAATGATGCAAAACTTTTTAAAAGGAGATGTTTGTGTGAAGTTGATTTCTGGGTGCACAGAAGAACACCCAAAGTGACAGACATCTACCTTAATGTGCAGGGGTTGTAACAGTCATCCGTGATTGTGTTACAGAGGACCTTTTTACCGCATTCCTCTGATCTCTAGATTATCCTACCAAGTTCCCTACAAGGCAGACAATGTTAAATAATGAAAGGGAAAACATTTCTGACTTGGAAGGCGCGCTCTTGTCCGTGTCCTGGCGCCGGTGTATTCCACGTCATTTGTAAGCACTCAGTGTGTGTTAATAAGGCTTAAAGAAGAAGTGATGTCCAATGAAAGAGAAAGTCGTATATATATCACTGATGAAAGGTAGAATTAATTGATATCGTTGCTTTGAAAAGAAGCCATAGAAGGTGATTTAAATATCATAAAATTGTTTCTATAAACCTCAAATGTGAAAAATTCTATTAGGCAAACGATGAAAGAGTAACTAAAAAGCAACAAAAGAAAAATGATTTTATTTTTTTCGTAATTCATAATGACTGATGGATACAAGTATAAAGTCTTCTACATGTACAAGAATACTTCACTTGTTTGATTTGATAAATTTATAATATTAACTCGTTTTGCTCTTACAATTAGTTGTAATACTAGTAGTACAAAATGTTTTCTAGATGACATTAAAGTAGACGTGTCTTTTATTCACCTGTAAAACCAATTCAAAGAAGAGTACACGCATAAAAATATATTTCGAGATTTGTAAATTAACCATTTGACATTATTGAAACATACTGTACTTGTAATATACATAACTTTGTACATATCACATGCAACACTTTATAAATATACATGTATATACAATGTAGCTTAATTACGTATGCTTATAGCAATATGAGCTGCAAGTTTGACTTGGGAAAATTTTGTAATTAACATTCTGTTGTTCATATTTGTGATGTAAGAAATTTTAGTAAGCTTTAATTGAAGCAAAATTACACTATTGTCGTCCTGTACAATATTAATTTCTTATATAATGCTTTATATTCAATTATACTGAAATATTTCTTCTAAAACAATTATAGTATTTTATTTTGGTTTTATTAATCTTAAGGGTTTAAATAACATACAAATTAATCATAATAACACATTTTAACAGCAAAGTATTTCTTTTCAAAAATGCAGCTCATTTTGCTTTAAACATTTACAAACAAAAAGGATCTCATTATTAAATATACCCTGAGAATATATCTGACAATATTACAGACATAGATAGCATTAGGACTCCTTGTTTCCTGGCTGCCAACAATCTACCTCACCGCTGTTACAGTCCCAGACGTCTCGTGCCGTGAACGAAAATATACCGTACAAAGATGACGACAGCGCCCAGTCGCTTTCTTATAAGCTCTTTTTTCTTGAATGATATTTTACACAAATTACAAACGCTTGAATGACATGAATTTAGGGTCTGTACCGCTGGTTTGTAAAATTACAAATGCTGAAGAATCGAGTTATTGAAGTCTAATGCAAAGCGACAAGGGTAAAATGAATGTTTGTGAATTGACGAGTTTATAAAAGAATATTAAAAAGAACTCCCTACTGCGGTTCTGAATTGAAAATCTTTATAAATTATGAAGGGGTTTGATGTTAGTATAGCCTTCTTGTGTGGAAATCAATCGGCAGGAAAAGCTATCTAGTCAAATCCAATAATCCGTGGATTAATGCTTAGCAGTAAATAGACTGCTTGGTGAGGGGTTTTATTTAGATGATAGATGTAAAACAAGTTAAAAAGAGAAACTTGTCGCATCATTACTGTCCACATAACAATAAATCAATCTGGACGACAAGAAGTTTGTCCACCTTTATATAGCGAGACCGAATGTGTTCCAGGGGCGTAATGTTATGTACACTGCATAGGCAACGATTTTTACTTTTACATTTTGACTACTGGTTTATTATATAGTTTCATACCCTGCGATCATCGAATTTGTTTATTGCTATCATAAAATACAATTACAGGAAAAATGTTTTTATTTTATCTACATACTTATGTATTAGATTTTAAAGAGTCTTTATTAGTACTTATTCTAGTATAAGTGGTTTATGCAAATTATCATACTGTCTAGGTTTTTTGTATCACCCGAGAAACAAAAATATTGCCAAATAAAAGTAATAAAAATGAACATTTTTTCTGTCATTTGAAAAAATATCCATAGTTGACATTATCATTGAAGACTGATGTTTACGTACATTTTTGGATGCACATTTATGTAGATTAATTGTTCATTGCTAAGAATAATAATGACATGCATTTCATCTGGGACAGAACTAGATACTGTACCAGGATGTAATCTGGCACTCATTATTGTCCCAGATTAACCGTTATTATTACTTATAATGAATTTTAATTTTTTTGACATGCAGAAAATCGAACAACATATGAATGCAATTCTCTCCCTAGGAAATTTTGCTCAGAAAGGGCTTAGTTTTTATCTTCATTGTAATGAAACAACTATTCAAAACACATCTTTGCTTTCTCTTTTTTTTTTTACCCCTATGCAACGCATCTGGTATCGTCTTGTTTCTCAATTCTCCTCTCTAGTTGTAAAGAGAACTTTTTTGAAGGTGCAGCAAATATCGTGTATATGTATGGCAGGTGCTCGTCTTTCTCAGCAAGACTTACTGAAAATTCCTGAAGTAGCTAAAACAGAACATAACAGGACAGATCACTAAATTGAAAATTGATATGAAAATTAAGAAAAATTGAAAGTTAATATAAATAAGTATAATAGAATTTTTCATTTGTCAAAATTCCATGACATCCGAAGTGAAAGGAACAAAAAGCATATATTTTTCCTAAAAAACTTTTCATCCAAACCAGTAGGTAGTGGTATATGAAGTAAATTATGTATGCCATTCCAGCAAAGTACTTCAGTATTCAACTCTAACAAACTTTCGCACAGTTGAATAAAAATTTAAATGACAGATTCTAAAATAAATGTACATCATACGTCAACGTGGTACATCCGAACAGTTTATAAAGAATACCTTTACACATTTCAAGTTTGTTATACCTTTACAATAAATATGCGCATTTGAAGTTCAGCAAATCTTTGTCCAATGCAGTTTCTCCGACCAAAACCATATGGGAGAACTGCAAAGGGATGGATGCTACTGCGTAGGGGCGAATTCCGCAGCCACCGCTCAGGTTTGTATTTATGCGCTTCCGGGAAGTAGTTCTCGTCAGAGGATATGACGCTATTGCAAAACACCAACGTTGTCTTCAAAGAAGCATCGCAATATCATTAAAATAAATCTGCCTGTGATCTACCAATCTATGTTACGAATCGCTACCGCTTCTCAAGGTAAGGTTATAATTTGTTTTAGAAAAAAAACTACGTAACCCAAGCTGGTGTAAAACAAGAGAATATATATAATTCTGAACGCACAGTGATACCCTTTAGTATCTTATAAGTAACTTACTCCTTTAGGAATATGGAACCCTGCAACCACTGTGTCTTTTTCCACGTGTCGACGCACGCCATCTCTCAAAGGAGGAACAAGGCTGCAATATTTTAATCAAAAAAATATTCATAACAAGAAAGAAGATTCAATGTGTAATTATTTCAGGGTTCTCCATGAGCTGTTTTACTTTGATGCTTCCGACACAGTAACAATTCAAATTTTATGCGTGCGACACAGTAAAAATTTAATTTAACAAGTACAGTTTTAAATGTACAGTGCAAAATGAATTACCGGAGAGATTCTTTAATACAAGCCTTTAGATAAGGCATGTCAGCAAAAGAGGATTCACAGATCAGGTCCTGTGTACAGCAGCGCGTTATCTCTTCACAGAGTCGGTCCTGCACCAAGGGATTCTTCGCTAAATGATACAGGACAAATGACAAGGCGTTGGCTGTCTGGAATGAAACATGGAGATAATGAACAGTATTCAAGATCAAAAGAAGTGACTTATATGGAATCAAAAATGTAGAATGCAGGTGCAACTTAAAAACATTGGACCCCTGATTAGCAGACCTATTTTTGTATTCATATGAAGAAGAATTTATTCAAAGTCTTATACATAAGAAGAAAACACTTGCTATGGCCTTCGAAATGTAGATATATCGACAATGTACTGTCAATAAATAATAGTTATTTCTATATGTCCATACGAGAAATCTTGGAATTAGCTTGGAATAAATGATAACCCAACAACCAAGCCTTCTGATGAACATGATGCCTTTTAACTTCAGTCGTCAACTACCCTTACTTACAATGTATGTAGTAACATATTCTTATCAACTGCATATGGGGTTAATATCTCTCAGCTGATTCGATACGTAAGAGCATACATTATGCATGAATTTTCTTAAACAAGGTACATTATTTACAAACAACTTGATGAAGCAATAATATCAACAGTCTCATTTAAAGTCATAATTTGGTAAGTTCTATGGTCGATACAATCTTGTCATCAAATAAAATCTGTCATTGTCAAATGCTGACTGGCCTTCTTCATGCTACTTGTTTGGACCTTATTTACACAATGAGTGTCGACGTATTTTTTACTTTATTTACCGATCAGGACAAGGAGCATTTTGCGGGTGTAAGCGGTCGGCAGGGATGCTCACTCCTCTATGGCATCAGATCACACACCTGATGCTTTGGAGATCCGTGTTTGCTCTGCTCCTGATGTGTATTTTTTTTATTGACTTTGAGCATAAATACTGTTCGTTATCTTCATTTATGTCGCATACAAATTAATAATAATAGTTTCAAACAAATTTTGAATTAAATACTGCACAATAATTCACATTTGAATTGAACATCTTGATATCTTCTCGATAAATTTTATCGTCAGGTTATCCCAGTCATTAAAACGCTCCGTGAGTGGAGGTCTGTGTTCGAATCACAGCCGTGACTGACCCAGGTCGATGAGAAAGAGGCAGCATTTATTTCCTTGCCAAGCGCTTATAACTTTGAAGTGAAAGTTGCGGGTCATTCGGACGAGACCTTCAAAAATAAAGGAACCCGTGTTACGATAGACGTTGATACGATGAAGAATCATCACTGCTCAATGGCTCTGAGTACCGAGTAAAAGTCTGAATTGGAGGCTTTCAGTGCTATTTGATGACTTCTCTATAAGAGAGAAAATTTTCGGAAAGGAACGCAAAACAATATATAATCAATCAAATATATATCTGTGTAAAGTAATATTTAAGCTGAATTTAAGGTAATTCTCACCGCGTCCGTCCCAGCAATAAACATATCCGTTATGGCGCTCTCCACACTGTCATGTGACATTCTATTATCCAATAGTAACTTCTCCAAGAACGTGACATTGTTCAGGCCTGTGGAGAGCATCCTCCGTTTGAAGTTGATTGTCTCTAGACACCCATGAAGGCTTTCTCGTGTCTATCTGTGGATAAAATATGCCATAGCGAGAATGATTGGTCGTTTTGTAGACTTATTCCACTAAAGGAAAGAGAGATAACTTGTCTTATTCTGTAAAACTAAATATACCGTGTTTCGAACTGTATCATAGGCTTTTTCAAAATCTAAATAGAAATTAGTTGGAAACAGGCGGTACCACGGAAAAATGTCAAACGATTGGCCCAAGTAAGCGTGCACATCTTTAATGTTTGAAAGAAGTTCTTGTTGATCAAGGGAAAAACTACCAAGGCGTCTGTTGAAACACAAAATCCCAGAATCTGCAAAAAGGGTGGAATTGTAAATCATTTTAAAAAACGTCAGTATGATCTATTCCACTTTTTTGCGTGATTTTTCTCTGTATTTAATTGAAAAATTAAAATGAAACAAAAAGACGACTGTATGCCTACTTTCCATTGTGAGTCGCGTGAGTTCCTCCAGAACATCAGAAATCCGATTGTCCCTCCCAATTCTACGCATCAGAAAGTCATCCACTATGTCTGTAAACTCACTGAAGTATTTGGAAACAACACAAGGTTTTAGGATTACTTCTTGAATGGGTTTACGTGCTGCGACCCACTTCTCTTTGTTCCTTTTAATATACACATATTTAATGTTACACTCCTTGAAGTATTTGGGGATAACGAAGAGTATTCGAGCTCAAAAGTCCGTTAAACGCTACAAAATAGGAGCAGAGCAAACACGGACCTCCATAACATCAGAGGAGTGTCATGACGCATGGAGGAGTAAGCATTCCCTGCCGACCGGTCACATCCACCGTGTGCTCCTTGTCTAGATCGGGGATTGACGAAAAAAAAAAAATCCGTCGACATTTTAGTGTGATAGTAAATAAAAGCCTAACAATTAGTATGAAAAACGTCAGTCTACATTTGACTCAATGAAAAATTGTTTTTGCTGACAAGGTCATTGTATCGACCATAAAACTTACGAACTGATGACTTTAAAAGAGACTTTAAAAGAGACTGCTAATATTCTTGTTTCATCAACTTGCCTTTCAACAATTTACCTCGTTTTAGAAATTGTAAATACGCAGAACATGCTCTTACGTATCGAATCAACGTAGAGATATAAACTCCGTATGCAGGTGATGAATGCATATTGCTGCATACGTAAAGGAAGTTGAAAATTGAAGAATTAAAGTCTTCATTTTATGTCCATATATGAAACAGATGTGTCAGACTCTGTGGTATCTTTTATCTCAAGCTCAACAGGATATATCGTATCGGCATGTAAGGAATGGACTAACAATCAGTATGTAAAAGTAATTCAGTATTTTACTTAATGATAATTTGTATTTTTTGACAAGGTCTTTGTATCAAAGGTCTCGTGGTTCAGCAATTGATTTTATTATAAAGTTTTTGACCTCATAGACAGCTATTTTTCCAATAAGAATAAACCTTCCAATTTTACTATCAGTGTTAACCTTGTCATTGGTCATATTTACTAACAGAATCATTCTGATTATATAAATGAGTACTCTGAAATTGATATTAAAAAGATGTTTGAGGATAAGGTTCCATCACACACAACACAGAAGTAGGTGTTAAGGAACCAAAGCTTGTCAATCAAGAAAGAGATTCAAATGAAATGTACCAAGCTACACTAGCTGTATAACACAGGTGGGCTTTTGATTTATATCATAATTAGACTTTTGAGATCAATCGGAATTTTCAAGGATACCAATTGCCTGTTATTATTAGACCTATTTGTGTATTCAAATGAAGCATGGTTTAATTTAAAAAATTACATGAGAAAAAACAAAACAAAACATTTGCTGTCACCTTCAACCCGACATTTCGATAGATCAACAACATATTATCAATGAACGATAGTTACGTCAATCAATATTTGAACTTGATAAATCCTAGTGAGCTTAAAATGAAAGATATCACAGAGTCCGATACATCTGCTTGATATTGGGGTATTATAAAAGGAAGTTTATGTTAATCTATCAACCAAGCTTTGTGAAAAAACGTGATGACCTCAACTTTTCAATCGTCAACTTCCCTTACTTAATATGTAAGAAATTACCCTTTTCACCTGCATATAGGTTTTATGTCTCTCAGTTGATTCGATACACAAGAGCATGCAATGCAAGTTGAAGAAACAAGAATATTAACGGTCTCCTGTTTAGTTTCATGGTCGATTAAATGACTTTGTCAGCAAGTGAAAATTTTCAATTAGTCATATGCTGACTGACATATTTAAATACTGATTGTTTGGCCATTACTTACACCTAAAATGTTCTACATTTTCCCCATTTTTTCCCGATCATGACAAGGAACAAATAGCAAATGTGAACGACCAGAAGGGGATGTTCACTTCTTCATGGTACCTGTCAACACTCCGGATGTTTTAGAGGTCCGTGTTCGCCCCGCTCCCTATGTGTATTGTTAAAATGTACTTTGAACAGGAATACTTTTCGGTATCTCCATATTTCATCAAAAGTAGTAAATAGTTAATGTCACACTGTAAAAATAATAAGAAAAAGAAAATGTACATTTTCTAGAGTTTTCTGGTTTTAACCATTCCGCCATCAGGTGTACGTCAGATATAGATCTGAAGACGGAGTAGTAAAATCTTAATCGGCTTTAACTTAAATTGTTTTTGAAAGAAAATAAAAATGTGGAAATTGTACATGTCAATAACCAAAAAAAAAAAAAAAAAAAAAAAACCACACAGACAAATTTCCATCCAAAATATTTCGCTTAAATTCATTATAAAGAATTCCAAAACTAATAGATTACAAAGAACATTATCGTGCAGAGTATAATGCCGGCATACTTACTGAAATGCCATACTTAATGGAATATTATTTCGTTTGGCGTATGAATACATTAAATGAGACGTTGGTCGGAGGGGATATTTTTCATAATGAAACATAATGTGCTGTATGTCGTCAGGATTGAACAGGAAGACCATCCAATGCATGCCTGCCCTCTGGCGGACAATTGGTCCATATTGACAGCGCAGATCACACAGAAAATCCGTGAAAGTGCTGGGTAAATACTGACCTAAAACACAGAAGAAAACATATTGAATACGATGGGAATTTATTTGTTTGATTAGGAACACCCCTTTCCCCTAATTAAACGTTAATTTCTTATCATGTTTGAATTTGATGAAAAGCAAAATTTACCAAAAGGCACATAGTGAAAGACTTGTCCAATGAAAGGCATGTTGTAACGACCAGAAGGACCCGGGATTTCATTAAATGGTCTGACTTTCTTCAAGGCTTGCTCCGGAACAAGACAGGATGATGAAAGCAGCCGAATAGGAACCGAATACACCATCCGAATGACGTCATTTTTGAAAAACATAACAAAGTAAAACCTAAAAAGACATTATTACTTCAGGTAAAAAAGAGAATACAAATAAATAATACATTGTAGGATGTTGGAACATCTCAAAATACCGTAAATTGAATGAAATTTAAAGTTAAAAAAATTATCTTGCATAATGTTCTTCTTACTAAATCAAAATTTGTTTGCAAATTTAACTAGTGCTAATTGTAACGGGAACCGTTACAGATGTTCCCCAAACGCTCCCCAACTCCCTTCCCGTGCCATATTCCCTGTAAGTTTCATTAAAGAAGGCAAAATCTATGCATTTAAGACGTAAACAACGTTTTCCCAAAAGTATACCAAGCAATGCAGGCGTGCGCATGTGATTGCATGAGCGTGATGACGATATCATCTTGTCTACATTATTTTACTCATTTGCACGTGCACGCACGTGCATGATGACCATACCTTCTTGTAGGTGTCCATTATGTCTGTCTATATTCTTAATCCCATCCTGTTTGGTTGAAAAACAAGGGAGTTATAGCCATTTAAAGTTTAAGCCAATCAGATTGCAGCGCACGTGCATGCGCGTATTTTCATGACAATTATTATATATCATATTGTAGGACATCTTAAAGTATGCATATGTTTTAAATTTCAAAGCATTTTGTAAAAAAACAGAAAAGATATTGAGATTTTTGTTTCAGCCAATCAGAGCAAAGCGCACGTGCATGCATGTGAATGTTGACCATACCATCCTGTAGGAGTCCTTTATGTCTATCTATGTTCTAAATCCCATCCTGTTTGGTTGAAAACCAAGGGAGTTATACTCATTTAAAGTTTCAGCCAATCAGATCGCAGCGCACGTGCATGCGCGTGATTTCATGAAAAATTTTATATATCATATTGTAGTACATCCTAATGCATGTCTATGTTATAAATTTCAAAGCATTTCATCATAAAACAAAAAAGATATTAAGATTTCTGTTTCAGCCAATCAGAGCAAAGCGCACGTGCATGCGCGTGAGTTCATGCAAATTTGACCATGTCATCTTATCTACACAACTTATATATCTTTATATAATGAGTTTCAAAACATTTTATCAAAAAATATAAAAGTTACAACCATATTAAATATATCAGTCATTTTACTCATTGCACGCGCCCGCACGTGCATGCGAATGCACGCAAAATGACCTTCGTTCGGCACATCTACACAACATGCCTACTAACCCTAAAAAGGTTTTAACTTAGTTTGGTGAACAGTTTCTGAGAACACTTCCGGACAAAAAAGTACCGGAGAAGAAATAAGAAGAAAAAAGAATAATAATAATAACTAGAAAGTCTGCTATTGCAAGCAATAGCATATGTCGCCCCGTATTAGACAAGACTTTCATTTTTATCATCACTAAAACAAAAGTCCATAAGCTAAGTTTGAACAACCATTGAGTTATATCAGTCCTTTCCATTGGAAACGGAAGACCTTAATTCGGTACATCCCACTCATTATTTTTAGAATCGGTAGGAGAAGAAAGTAGTGCAGGAAAATTACAAGTTCCTCAATTTGCAGACTTGCATAAAAGAAATCTGGCAGATGTACTGAACTGAGCCTCATACTTGTTAATTGGCAGTATCTTTCCTATGATAAAAGCTTGGGAAATGTAATTTATGAAGAAGATCAGCCGAATTATTTTGTGTATTGTAACGCCAGTGAGAACTCTGAAATTTCCCTCTTTCACTTTCATTTTAGAGGTTCTACCGAAAAACGAATCTGACATGCCACCATCAATTCGAGCATTTCTGCATTGCAGAGAGCTGATGTGTGTTATGAGATAATAAATCATGTGTGAACTTTCTCAGTTTAGCGGAATCATGAACATTTTCGGCGAGATGAATGTTTTGTATACAGTGGTGATCAAGGCTTTGCGAACCATCAGGAGCGGATCAAAGAATTTATGAATGAATAAAAACTATGGAAATGACGTACCAATTTTTTAATTTATACTTGCACTATCTAATGAAATGAATAATATACAAGTGATAGATATACAAGAAAACGCGAAATGATAATAAATGCAGCTGACAATCGTTATTTTTTTTTATATAGATAAAATAAAATATTTATAAATTCAAGAGACAAAACAGAAGGAGAATGAATGATGGCAAAATATCACATGACGGGAACTGAATTTTATGAATGAAGATTTTAAAAAGTTACTTGTAAGTTGTATATGTTATATCTGTGTATTCTACTTGGCTGTGTGCTTCATAAAAAGAGGGGGGGGGGGGCGTCTTGAACATAGTAAATAGCCATAACGTTTGAACGGTAAGTACTAGGGCTTTCGTATTTCAAATAGGTAATCCTTGTGAAAAGAACTTTTATTGGATACGACGAACTTTGACCCTTTGACCTAGACCTTGGAGAACACATGTGTACATCTGAATCTTTTTTTCTGTTTCGTTTCTATGGCAACCGTGAGCGACTCATTACAATTATTTTGAAAGTAGAAATCACTTTGACACATTGCAAGGAATAAACATTGAAAGTTTCAAAACGATTGCCTGAGTAGTTATTGAGAAAATCGAAATTAAAGAATTTTAACTTTCACCTGGTTTCCATGGCAATAATCGATTATATGAAAATTTTAAATACGAGTTGCAGAACTACAGATACTAATCATTAAAATAAGAAAAGTTTCATGACGAACGTTTAAGGGACCAGAGAGAACACTCTCGGACAAAATTTGTCGCTTTTTACAGGTTTCCATGGCAACGGTAGACATATTGGAACTGAACGACCTCACTGCACAACTACAACCAGTGATCGTCCTTGAAGGAAAGTTTCAGGAAGATTGTCCCAGCCGTCTCCGAGAAACAGCCTGGATAAAAAAAACATGCGTACAATATCAATATGTCGTCCCCGACTTCGTTCGGGGCGACATAACTAGATACGATCTCGTTGCGAGCAACGAGAGGTCTTCCGTCCGTTTTAGGAAAAGAAACCCACGTAAAATCGAGCTGAAAAGAGATTCAAAATTTTGGTCACAAGGAGGATTGAACCCATGTCGCTTTTTTTTTTTACTTTTTTATCCTCAACGCGCTAACCATTAAGCTATAGGGAGTACTGCTCTAAACATACTTGTGTATACTTTTGCAACAGTTCACCTGTCTAAGAATTATAAACCAGAAGTCTCTGTCGAGACTGAAGCTCTACTGGTTTGTACTTATTATATAGCAAAGGAAGAGAAAAGTACTTAAGCAGTTGGGAATTGAAACTTTACAACAGCAATAAATAGGATAATGATCCTTAATTAAGTCTCATTATGTTTTTAGTGTAGTCTACTTGCATGCCACATTATATTATAATCAGACTAAAACTGTATTTGGAGTAGCATTTTGAGAGTATATTACAGAAATTTCTATTTTTAGTAACTGTGGCAACACCGTTCATTGAAGTAAAAAACCAATACACAGAACTATGTACCTTATTGTAGTCTACTTGTGTGCCAAGTTATATTGAAATCAGACCAAAACTGTAGGAGGAGTAGCATTTTGAAAGAATTTTACAGAAATTTCTATTTTTAGTAACCACGGCAACACCGTTCATCGAAATCAAAAACCGATACACAGAATTATGTACTTTAGTGTAGTCTACTTGTGTTCCAAGTTATATTGAAATCAGACCAAAACTGTAGGAGGAGTAGCATTTTGAAAGAATTTTACAGAAATTTCTATTTTTAGTAACCACGGCAACACCGTTCACCGTATACACAGAATTATGTACCTTAGTGTAGTCTACTTGTGTGCCAAGTTATATTGAAATCAGACCAAAACTGTAGGAGGAGAAAATTTGTTTACAGACAGACAGACGGACAGACAGACAGACAGACAGACAGCTAGACGGACGGACGACGGACGCATTACCATAGCATAAGCTCTTCTGGTCTCTGACCAGTAGAGCTAAAAACATTCATAATTTCGCGCCAAACGCCACAAGTAAATATTCGCGCCTTTTCTTTAGACTGATCTATTAAATAGGTATGATAGCTTCAATTAAATTTTAAAAATAAAACATTCTTAGCGCCTTTATTTTATTTCGACGTTAAGAAAGTATATGTAACACATTATACACATTACATATTGTATCTAGCCCAGTAACACTAAAGCAGTGAAACGGAAGTTAAGTTTTAAGATTGACACTCAATTGCAACTTACCGGTACTACTGTAACTTGTCGGACCTGAGCGGTCAGTAGGTCCGTGCTCGGATTACCGAGTTTTACTGGAGATATGATTGAATGCAATATTTACAGATAATAATATGACACCTGCCTGGTGTCTTTAAATCAAGTGACCTAAGTGCTTTGTACACTTATATATCTTCAGTTAATGCCGGCACCTGCCTGGTGCCATATGACAATTGCCTCACCATACAACTGACTATATAAGTCAACAGCCACCTGCTTGGTGCCTCTCGATTTAGCCTTTAACACCTGCCTGGTGTCTTACTGCTTACCAAGTTGCCTATATAACTCTAGCCAAGTAGCTACAATATACTTACACAGTATTTAACTTTGTAAGAGCTTCTCTGTCCTAATCACAAACATATAGGTAACGTCACAAAGCTATACTTAAACTAGTCACTGACTACGGCAACTTTGCACAATTCCATTAGATTGATACACTAATTGGTTTCTGTACCAAAGTGAAGACACAAGCCAATTGGCTGTACTGCCCTCTTGTACCTCAACTTAATCAATGATCATAAGTTATCAGATATCATATTGATAAAATACTACAGAATGCCTTTCTTTTGGCAACACTATTATTATTTTCTAACAGAACATCATTTATCAATAAAACTTGTATAATTCTTTTGTCAATTGACCAATTAATTACAATATTTACATTGATTATCTATTATAATATAAACAAGTAACGGGAGGTAACTCCTCCAACCATTTCACTACTACGTTAGAGTCGAAGTAGTTTTTTTACATTTCATGTATCCTTATGTCAGAATCGTTTAATCAAACGCTCAGCTGCCTC